TCCTCCAGCACACTTCAACTCAAACGTCCTACTTTCGACCCGAAACTAGTTTCTTGGCCTCGATACCAACGCCAAGCCCTGAAATATGACAAAAACACACAACCTAGCGTGAAATCGGTTTAAAACACGAGAATCAACATCTCAAACGGCTCAAGAATAGGGGTAAAAACATGTGCAATCAATGGTCTATCAGAGAGCAAGGACAAACCAAGGAAGAAGGAATCCTAGGGTTTGCTATAAGTGGTGGATTGGGAAGATTCTCCACAAGAGAAGTTCAACACAAGCTCAAAAGAGATTGGAGGGATCACCATGATGGTTTCTACCTCTTCCTCTTGTGTCCTTCCCCTTCCTAGCATGGAGTAGTACTCTTTTTCATTTGGGTGTTGTGAAACCCTAACTATTTGCCATGTAGTTGTTGTGTGAATTTAATTATTGTTTAGGGTGTTGTTTAATTCAATGATTGAGTTATTTTTCATGTTGATTTGTGCATGTTTGTTCTTAGCAATCCAATTGACGATTCTAACCTAGATAAGAAGGAAAACCCCCTTTCAAGGGAGGCTCAATTGAGTTGGGATTCCTTGAGATTTTTAAGCCATCTATCTAGGTTAATGTAGGGCAAACCTCTATGTTGAATTAAGCAATTTGGTTAAGCGCGATTAAGCCGACCAACCATTGGGTTGAGTGAGAGAGTAAGTCAACCATCGATTGCCTTAAGCAAGAGGGCTACTTGAGTAGCCTATAATGTATCACTTGGTTTGGCAAACGAGAGTGTGGTCTACGACCATAGTTGCATTTACTAGCGGTTTCCGGTCACCTTGCCCATAAAAATTAGGGCTAATACCACTACAACACCCGAACTATCGCGAAAATGCCACTTGTGTCCTATTGTTTCCAATATTCCATTCATGTCATGAACTATTATATTTTGTGTCATTTGTATCCTGTCAATTTTGTTGACCGTAAAAGATAACAGTTGACCAAACGGCGATCAACTTAACATTGACTTTTGCTTACGTGGCAATGCCAACTCATTGACACCTCACATTTTTAATTTAAATTAAATTAAACTTTGAAAATAAAAAATTGAAAAAACTTTAAATTCAAGAATATTAGTAAATAATATTCTATAACCTCAAATTCAAAAAAAAAAAACTATTCTCTACCGATTTGCCTCTCTCGCTCTAAAAAATTTCCCCTTCTGCCTCGCCATCTGCTTCGTCAAGAACGCGTTCGGCGGCAGTCGCACCCCGCCATCGGCATAATCATCCCCCATCATCGTCCTCCCCACACAGCATCGGAAAGGCTTGCTGGAAATATTCGGCGATTTCAGTTTGAATCGATCACCTCGCCTGCCAGCATCTACGAATCGTGCAATCTATGTCGAAAGAGCTGGGTTCACTTCTCTCCATCCTCATTGAAGAATTTCATCAACAATCAAATTCATCACCGCCACTGGCGTCGAGAAGCTCCGTGGGATTCCATTCTCGTCAAAGAAAGCGGAGTCGGCGGAATCAGACCAAATGGACAGAGGAGATTCGATTCAGCGACCTGACCAAACAGATCTGAGAAGAGCTCTGAAATTTGAAGAAGGCTGGGAGCTTCTTTAGCTCTCTGTTCGGTCGTCGTCTCCAACTCTAGTGGGGTTGGCGATTGAAATCCCTTTTCGATTTAGGGGTTTGCACATGGGGGAAGAAGGGGAACAAGGAGATGAACTTGATTTCTCCGATTTCCCTCTCCCAGGGCCTCCCCTCCAAAAGAACCCCACTTCCTTCACTTCCTCTCGACTCTACCGCCTTGGTGAAGTCTCTGTACTCTCGCTTCACTGTCAGAAAGTGGGATTCCTCGGCGAGGGCTTGTTTTTCGGATTCAGTGAACGGCGGTGGTTGCTGGGTGCGGCGAATTTTGTTCAGCTTGCGGTTGTGTTTTTGAATTTCTTTCTTACGGAGGGTGTGAACGATTTTAGGCGTTGGTTCCAAGCCTTTCTTTAGAAGCCTTCGTTTGATGGTTTCGACTTTGGGTTCAAATTTTTTAGTGGGAAGAGAAGGAGAAGGAGAAGGAGAAGAGGAATTGTAGATCTGGATCTTGGGGAAGAGGTTGGTGGAATGAGGGGTGGGTTAAATTTTTATTGTATTTTATATTTTAATTATTTTCTTTTTCTTATTTATTAATATTAGATAGAAAAATAAATAAAAATTAATATTTCAAATTCCACGTCAGATGCCACATCAGCACTGACTGGATTTTCTGTTAAAAACTAACGGTCAACAAAAGTCAACACTAACGGAATCATAGTTCAGGACACAGATGGAATATTGGAAACAATAGGACACAAGTGGCATTTTCGCGATAGTTCGGGTGTTGTAGTGGTATTAGCCCTAAAAATTAATTCAATTCCTCGTGCCATGGTAGTAGTTAGGGGGAAGCGACACCCAAATGATCCTTCTCACATAGAGCTTTCAAAACCGTCTACTTTTTCCTTGCTTTACTTTAATTAGCAATCTTTTCAACCAAAACCGATTCACTAGATAATGTTTTTAACAATTGAAGTAGGGGTACACGGACCGGTCCGAGTTGATATTGAAACATACTTGTCCTATATTGCACCCTACTAAGGTTTATACTTGGACCTTAGGCGGGAATTAATTGTGATATACGGGACGAGTCAAGTTTTTGGTGTCGTTGCGGGGGAACAACGGTCTGTTATCTTGAAAAAGTTGTTTGATGTTAATCTAGCTTTTAATTTCCAGTTTTGAAAGTGTGTGTGCTTTGGTTTTGCTAGACTTGGTGTTGTTTTCTAAGTGTGTGTAGGGAGGTGCATGACCCGGAGCAATCCGACACCTTTGATACCACGTGACGAGGACATAAACCAAACTCTCCGACTCGGAGGACGGAGAGGGAGCTAGCGGAGGCAAGGAGGAGAAGTGAAGAAAGGGGACAACAATTTTGTCCCGGTACTGGTGGAGTAGAAGTTGAAGAAGCGGGAGGGGAACCCGACATTGGAGTAGAAATGGCGGGGAACCAAAGAGAAGCAGGAGCCGCCCAAGCTCGTAACCTAAACAATTCGGCGGTAGAAGAGGAAATCCCGAGGACAATGGGATATTATATGGCCCCACGGCCGGTGGACATTCAACCGCCAATCCTACACCCTCCCGTGACGACCAAAAATTTCAAGATTAAGTCGGCTCTAGTGACCATGATACAAAACAATGCTTTGTTCCATGGTGTTCCGAGCGAGTCACCAAGAGAGCATGTGCAGAGATTTCTGGAGCTCGCGGGGAGCTTGAAAATCAGTGGTATGTCGGCTGAAGCTTTGCAACTGAGGCTTTTCCCCTATTCACTTGCAGGGAAAGCAATCCGGTGGCTAGACAATCGCCCGCCTCGTTCAATCACCTCATGGGACGATCTTCTCAACAAATTCATGACCCGCTACTGCCAGCCTTCGAAAACGTCCGAGTGGTGGAAGAAGATCACCCATTTCGAGCAAGAGGAAGACGAGACCTTGCGGGATGCTTGGGAGAGATTCTCCGATTACTTTCTTCAATGCCCTCACCATGGGTTCGAGGAAAAGTTTCGGATTGAAACTTTCTACGGTGGGCTAATCCAAGAAGACAAAATTCTCATTGACTCTCTTTGTCAAGGGAAATTGATGAATATGGCTCCACCGCAAGTGACCAAATTGCTCGAGGACAGGGTCCTCAAGGGGTACGATTGGGGTTTGACGAGGAGCGGGTGAAGAAGTAATGATAGAGGAGTGAGAAGCGTGGGAGAAAGCACTCCACTTGAGGTGAAGCTTGACAAGTTGATCGAGGTAATTCTTAAAGATAATAAGATAGGAAAGAGGTCGGTGATGTCTTGTGATTGGTGTTTGAGCACTGGCCATCAGATGGCGGAGTGACAAGCAATGAAGGAGGCAACCACACCGGAGGAACAAGTCAACTTCTTGGCGAATGCTAGGGCTAATAACCCGTATAGCAATACTTATAATCCCGGATGGAGGAACCACCCCAATTTTGCTTGGTCATCACCGACTAATCCTAGACCCCCGGGTTTTCAAGGCCCCAAGGGCAATTACCAACCTGGGCCAACCTTCATCCAACAAAGGCCTCAAGTCCAAAGCTCAAGCTTCCAACAACCATACCAAGCACAATGTGGCCAAGTGTTTCAACAACAACAACCCGACAAGCTATCCAAACTTGAAGACCTAGTGAACACCTTTGTGAGCACGAGTGCTCAAAAGTTTGAGAAGATTGAGCAATTTATGGATGTGGCGACTACCAAGTTTACCTCGATTGAGGCGGGACTCCGAAGCCATCAAGCGAGCATCCAAAGTTTGGAGGTGCAAATCGGCAATCTTGGGAGGATCCTCACCGAGAGACCCAAGGGAGCCCTACCTTCCCAAACCGTGGCGAACCCCAAGGATCATGCCGGGTTGAATGCAAATCAAGTGGGAAGTGGAAAGGTGACTCCGGGAGTTACCGCTCAAGAAGTGAGGGAGAAGGAAGGTTCCAACCCGAAGGATGGAGAGGAAGAGCCCCCGATTTGATATTTATACATACTTGCCCTGTATTGCACCCTACTAAGGTTTATACTTGGATCTTAGGCGGTAATTAATTGTGATATTCAGGACGAGTCACAACATAATGTAATATACCATAACATCAAATTCCACTAAATGTAAAAAAGAAAGAACTAATCGCCTCAGTGTCTGGCAGACAATCACAACTCCGTGAGAGAATCTGCGGATGTGACATCTTACGGTACCACTCCATGTAATCGTCCATCACCTCCCATGGCTTCCTCTGCACAGGCCTAGAGTAGTAGTCTAAATGAACCCGGTGAGACCAGGTTCTGCCACCAACTTTCCGTGTGTGGATGCCATGTCAAGTCGTACCCATGGGTGGAAGCTGATCATCTGACGCCCATCGGGCAAGATGGCTCTGGTGGTATCCCGTGTTGGTACCCAATCTGTCGGAGGCATCTAGTGGGCTCGTACGGCTCAGCTATGTCAGCATTGTTGAGGTTGTAGTTGTCCTGGTTTGAGGGTAGGGAAGTGATCGTAAATCCAACACTGTAGTAAGGCCAAACAGCTCGTCACTCCCTTCGCCTCCGCCCATGAAGCAATACCGAGCTATCTGTACAAGTAAGCAAGTGCTCCAGCCCCATTAGCGTAATTGCCAATCTGCTCCGAACTCTTCAGGATCAGTTGAGCACAGCTGACACGATCCCTAGTCTTATCCACGAACATGGTGGATCCCAACAGAAGCAGAAGCCAACACTGCGCCTCTTTAGCGGGAGGACCAGTCTGGCGCAATCGAGCTAAAGCCACCTCACCCAACAAACCATGTCCATTTTCCCAAGGCGACTTAACCGCCTTCGAACCCACCTGTGCCCCCCATATCCAAATCCATCTTATGCCTAAAACCCAAAAGGTCAAACATATCCTTGACCAGTATCGGGGTCTCTATTGCAGCAGAACTCACGCTCATCTGTGCACCATCTAATGGAAGGCCCATGATGTAATGCACATCATGGAGGAGAATCATCATCCCTCTGAACGGCATGTGGAAAGTGTTGGTCCGGCTACCACCTCTCCACAAATGCCGAGATGAGCGTTGTATCCAACTCTCCACGAAGGGTGGACTATGCCAGGTGAGCCAGCCCTGAACTCTCCACTGCTGCTAGGGCATGAGAGTCACGAAAAACATGAGCCATCACCGCGCGATCAAACACTCCACTCCTATGGTGGCAGTCAATCACCCGTCAATCTGCCTCTCTTGTGTAAATACCGTAGGCCACATGAGCACGAAAGCTAGGAAGCAAACTGAGGTTGATAGGACCTCCCAAACATGAACCTCTAAGCTCTGTAAAAACGACCAGCATGGTCTCTACTAGCATCGCCAGTATTGTGTGATGACCCACTGACGACTCTTCTTCGGAAAATTTCCACCTGAAAGGGGATACTCAAGCTCATTGTCCTCGGCCTCATCAGATCCATCATCAATCTCCTCTGAATCCTCGACTGATGGACTGTGTCCCTCCCTCATCTGAACACTGTAACCAGAAGGAACTCTGCTACCCATTCCAACAGGGGAATGATAGTCAAAATGCGAGAAGCCGTCGGGCCTCATCCTCAACTATGGTTGTGGTGGTGGCTGTCGCTGTGGCTCTACCTCAGCCTGTGGCTCTACCTCAGCCTGTGGCTCTACCTCAGCCTGTGGCTCTAACTCCTCTCCCTCTATATGGTTACGCTTTTTCTTATTGTTTCTATCACTCGCACTTATCCAACGACTCTTAAATCTAGGCAGCTTACCTCCTTTCCCTCAAGAATCACCTGGCGCAGAGGCCATCCCTATACATAATTACTAATAATTAGTCTCTACCGTTTTTTTAACTATTATCTATAATTAACACATTTAAACCGATTACTAGCATAATTCTAGATAAATAACATATTTTCATCAATTACTATACAAAATTAACATATTTCCATGACTATTTATACATAGTTAAACATTTAATATTTTATAAATATTATTTATATAATTTTTTAATTATTATATACATAATTAACAGATTTTAATCAATTACTAGTATAATTCTAGATAATTAACATACTTTTATTACTATACATAATTAACACATTTTAATCGATTACTAATATAATTCTAGATAATTAACATATTTTCATTACTATGCATAATTAACACATTTTCTAACTATAAATTATTTATAATATAATTAAAAAAATTTATTATATAACATAACCTATTCAAATTATCACTAATAATTACTTTCGACAATAACTAACAAGATTTAACACTAACTAAACTAATTTATTGATAAAAAAGAAACAGAAAAAAAATTTGGCCCGACCGCCAGAACAGACTGCCGCCATCCCAGACCCGGTACAAAGTTAGGCTTCGGATGGACGAACGTCGTACAAAGGGGGGTTTCAGACGGACCGTTGCGGTGCAAAGAGGGGCTTCGGACAGAGGGACGTTGTACGAAGGGGGGCTTCAGATGAAGGACAGGGTATGAAGGGGGGTTTCGGATGGCGCGACGATGCACACGCTGGTACGAAGCCGGTTTTCGACCGAAAAGACTCGGTACGAAGCCAGGTTTCGGCCGAAAAGGCCTGGTAGGAAGCCTGGTTTCGAATGATGAGCTGTCGTACGAAACCAAAACACTTTTAGTCGTCGGAAACCCGGCTTCATACGGGGACTTCTCTGCCGAAACTGTGCTTCGTACCTGTCTTCGACTTCCAAAACTGATATTCGTATTGGGCCATTTCGCCGGAAACCATTTTTTGACTGAAAATTATAGAAAACGATGAGGGAGGGATTTTAACATACCTCATATTTGTGCTGGCGGAGGTTTGGCGACAGGGTAGCAAAGGCCGCCGGTTGAAGGATTCTTGAGGGGGAGAGGAGTAAGGCCGCCAGAGGAAGGAGTGGGCCGTCGGCGGGACGTTTCTTGTGGGGAGAGGGGAGTGTTCTGCGGAGATGGGGGGGGGGGCAGGTTAGGGGTGAAGGGAAGGGGACGACGGCAGGTTTGGGTGGGAGGGGAAGGGTTTTTTTTATTTTTTTTCAAGGGTATTTTTGTCATTTTAAGTGTAACTATGGGCGGCAAATAATAATTTATCGGACGGCAAATAGCGTGTCAGGACTTCTCTTTGACAAAAAAGTATATATATATGGTGACGTCTATCGTTCACTACCAAAAAATGCCGGTATGTCGTACACCACCTATCTCTGCCGTGCGATCCATCTCAACGGCCGAGATAAATGGCGGGCTCTGATTTTGTGGATTTATAAATACAATTACTGTAAAAGTCCCCCACAACCCAAAAACGTTACATTGTCGTCCACTTGCGTCAGAGGGCTGGCCAGGACCTACGAACCAAAAGTTATGTTCTGGACAGACGACCCAACCCTCATCTGCAAACCACCCAACCCGTTTCTCACCCTCTCGTAACGCCATCACTTTCTCCGTCCCATGTTCTCTCTCTCTCTACCTCCCTCTCTGTTTATATATATATATATCTCTCTCTCTCCCCCTCCTCCTCCATTCCTATAAATGATTCCACTTCAATCGAGTCTTAATACGGTCTAGAACTTTGTAATCACAACCCTCTTTCTCCGTTGTATTCGATCCGAGCAATTACGATGTACAAATTATTCTTCTTTCGTCCCTCCATTCACTCAATAATTCGCCATCTCCGACCAGAGCACTTGGCCCAAATCGAGAGCCATAGTACACCGGGTGCATCTCTCTATTACACGATTGCACAAATCAGACCACAAATTTCGGTACACACGCTATAAGTTCGTTAAAGCACACCACATGACCAATAACGTACACCACAAGTTTATTATTGCATGCCACAAGTAACATAGAGAAAACCACATGTTTATAAAAGCACGACACAAGTCTATGGTATTGCTCCTCTATTTATTTAGTTATTCGTTCATGTTCCAGGTAGGTGTACTCCGTTCTGGGATCATTTCGGCCGGAGGAAGAAGATGACCAAGAGGTAATTTCAATCGAATTGTGGCTTCATCGTTATCTTAACTTGTGTTTGTGAAATAACCTACCCTATTGGGTTTAGAATATTGCAATATGATCTCGGATCCAATTACGGCTCTCGTGGGCTTAATGCATGCGGGCTTAATGGGCCAGGCACTGGACCATTTCAACTAGGGTTGAAATCTTAATAAATGTTGTATGGTTTTCGGATATTCTGAAATTATTAATTAGGGATCAAATTTTATGAAAATTCTATACGTATTTCATTTTCACTAGGTCTCGAAGGGATCATTCGTTGGGAAGGGAGAGAAAGCAGAACAATCTAACCACACCACAAGTTACGTAAAAGCACATCACAAGTCTTCTAAAGCATACAAAATATCATAAAAAGCATGCCAAAAGTCTATCTATTGTATTGCAAGTAATTATTATGAGGTGTCGAATCAGTGGCTGAGCTTTCAACTCTATCTATTGTCCTAGTGTTATAGCTAATTATTTGAAGCGTCGAATTACTGGTGGATATTTTCTAGTCTGGGTGTGAGGTATATCTACTGTGAATATTGATTTGTTGATATGTAGGAGGTAAGTAATATTTACTTTGTGAGGTAAGTAATAACTTTTATATTTATCTCTTTTGGGACTTTTGTTTTTCCATTTTTTAAGTTTTAGAAGAATCGAGACTGTTTATATTTCCTTGATTCCTTCTATCTTTCCATCTCTTTGCATTCTGTCTTACTATCTCTTTACCCTTTCATTCTTTACTTTCGTGTTTTGCTTTGTTTCCGCGCTCTGCCCCAAACATGCCTGACAACATCCCCCTTCCATTACTTCACGGTGTTAGCAAAACCTTTGTAAACAAGGTTATTAATGAACCAGCGAAAAGGAATCGCGATCGGTTCTCTAGATTGTTTGTTTCTCGTTCTCTTCGCCCTAAAATCATTGTCGACCCTGGAGAGTTTCGAGATTTTGATATTCAGGTGCTGCACTACATCAACAACCTTGGATGGGGGTTTCTTCTTCACTCCCTCCCTCTGCCTCCATGTTCTCTCGTTGTTAGGTATTTCTATGCAAACATGCAGTGCATGGATATTGAATCTCGAGAGTTCTCAAGTCTTGTTGCTGGTCATGAGATTAGTTTGACAGATGAAGGCCTAGGTCGGGCTCTTAACATTCCCACTGGTGGCCTTCCCCTTGCTCATAAGCAAGAAATGGCTGCATACAAATTTGATCCCACTGAGAAATACGGCGAGCTTCTTAGAAGGCCTATACTCCCCACTGAAATAATCACCATTGCATATTCCAATAATCTGCATAGGGTTCTCCATTATTTCATCACGCATGTCTTTCATCCCCGCAGTGACTCGCTTGATGTCGTCAATCAGCTTAATCTTTGGGTGATCTACAATGCCTTGGCTGGACGCAAGCTTGACTATTCCTACTTGCTTTTTGGCTACACGATCAGAGCAAATAGTGACGAGTATAGTGGGAGTTTTCCCTTTGGTGAATACATAAGCCTTCTACTTGCCAATCTGGATATTCCTTCGGGTGGTTATATTTTCGAGGAAACATCCATCCTTATCCCTACCGC